GTGCTCAGGACTGCTGGTCATTTCACTCACCTGAATGGCTTCAGCAGTAAAAGTACATGAGCACACAAAACACTCAGTGGATTAAGATCTCTTCTTTGCCATCTCCCCCACAAAGAACAGAATCTGGAGCTGGAAAGATCGAAGCATTAAGGCACGTGTACCCTGCTTCAGTTCAATCGCCAGCTCAATAGACGGTTTCCAGAGTACCACTTGCAGTGATTCCCAAGCAGAGCCAGAAGTAGCCCCTCAGCACTGCTCGGTGTGGCCCAACCTTCATTTCCCCCAAAGAAACAGAAATCTAGAGGCCATGGCCGAGTCTTCAAGAAAGCTCCTGAAAGTACAAGGCAAGTGCCTGGGCCATGTATTCTGGCCCCTCCTTAGCTTTTCCAGGGCTATGCTCGCCCAACGTTTTAACTCTCTCTACTAGACACTCCCAGACACTGAGGTTAAATACAGCAGTTCGCTTTCTAACAAACCCTCATACTAGCCCCAGCTGAAAAAAAAAAAAATCAAGGGATAAAGGGAATAAAGGAGATAAAGAGAGAACACGGCAGAAAAGTTGCTCTCTCCTTATATGTGCTCATTCCCCAGCATTCCAAATGATCCTCCAGGAGTTGATCCCTGAGCACCACTGGGTGCAGCAAAAAGAAAAGTTGAGCTGGAGAGGTAGTACAGCAGGTAGGGCATTTTTCAGTACACAGCCAGCCTAAACTCAACCCCTAGCACCACAAATGGTGCCGAGACCTAACAAGAGTGATCCCTGAGCACAACAGGTGTGGCCCAAAAACCAAAAGACCGAAAGACACAATACATACAACTGACCACCCTGTAAAACGAATAGAAAAGCAAATCGATCAGATACGTAATATAGGTGGCAGGCTGTATAGTGTGTGTGTGTGTGTGTGTGTGTGTGTATTTACCTTGCATGCAGTCAATCACCATCACCAAGCCAAGAGTAAGATCCAAGAATAGCCAGGTATGGTCAAAAAATAAAATTTAAAAAAGGGGGGGCACCAATCTTCCTATCTCCCCCCTTGAAATCTCTTCAGTAGCCGTAGTGGACAGCTGACAAGAGTGTAGCACATTTGGGCTGAGACTTACCTTGGATCTCTCAATATGCAGATCCTAGGTGTTTCCTTGCTCTCAAGGGCTGATAGGAAAATGCCACAACTCCACTGCCTAACTCAACTCACTGTAGCACTGTAGAACTGTCCTCACATTGTTCATCGATTTGCTTGAGCGAGCCCAGTAACGTCTCCATTGTGAGACTTGTCATTACTGTTTTTGGCATATCGAATATGACACAGGTAGCTTGCCAGGCTTTGCCATACGGGCGAGACATTCTCGGTAGCTTGCCGGGCTCTCCGAGAGGAGCGGAGGAATCAAACCCGGCTCGGCTGAGCCAGCCATGCACAAAGCAAACACCCTACCACTGTCCTATCACTCCAGCCCAACTCCTGTCAAGCTACCTGTGACATATTCGATATGCCAAACACAGTAACAAGAAGTCTCACAATGTTACTGGGCCCACTCCAGCAAACCAACTCAAAGGTCAAAAAAACAATCAAAATAACCAACAAAATACCTCTACAAAAGTCTTGAGGTTTTCTTCCAAACTTGCAATTCAAGAGTTAAGGACAACAATTAAGTACAATCTAGGAATTAACTGAGAGGTAATAGGGGGTCCCATAACTTTTATCACAAAATTTCTTCATCCACAACCACACCCAAGACGGAATATAAGGACTAAAAATGAGATGTTGCTACAGGGTAAAATTACTTATTTCTCCAATAATGACACCACTAAATGGCAAAATAAAAAATATTTAATGCACACAAAATTTACAATAAAATCAACAGGCATAGAAAGCATTACATAGTGCAAACACCAAAAAGATACAGAGCTATCCATGTATGTGCTTATGATTAAGTAAGACCATACGGGAAATGTCTCCTTTCCTCATTTAGTGAGCTGGCAACTATTCTCAAAGGTATTTTTAACTGCCTTTTTTCTTCCCACTTTATGAAACTCCAGTTGCTACTTCTGTTAATTATGACTACCTAATCAGATGTTACTTGGAAGATTACAAGTATTTTTTTCTGTTGCCCCGCTAAGCAGATATAAAGGGGAGATTATGCTCACCTACCTAGACATGAGGTAAGCTTATCTACCAAGATTAACAACTTCTAATATTTTACTCCTGGCAGCTATAGCTTCTTAAGTTGCTCCACCATATTCAAACCCCACAACAAACAATGAGGTAGAAAGAGTAGATGTGTACTCATCTCACAGGTGAGAGAAATGGAGCCTGCGAGGTTGGGGGTGCGGCTTAACAGCCAAGCACTTGCTTTGCATCTGTGAGGCCATGGGTTTGATCCCTCTCCACACACACACACACACACACACACACACACACACACACACACACACAGCTTAATAAGGTTGAGAAAGGGACTCAAGATGGTGTTTACTCCCTACCCTATCCAAGAAGGCACTTAACAGTTGCTAGCTATAGTGTGAATGAGAACGTCTTAGTCAGAGACTATGTAAGACTTTCTACCGGGACAAGTGCTGAGCTAAGGGGGAACTGATTTCCCTGACTCTCCCATTTGATACACAGAGGATGACCTGGGCTGTAAGAAGCTTTATATGAGACAGCAGCTCTGGTCTCTCACCTTCCTCTTGCTAGAGCCCACCCCCTTATTCTGCAGCAGAAGCACTTAGGACTACTGGGAGAGACATCTTATTTTAACACTGTTGCTACAACCATCAAAGGGATGACTCAGAAAGCCTTTGGTATAAAAGCAATATGCAGAAAAAGATTTAAAAATGTGTAATTCCATGGTAAAAGAGCAACAGTCAGGAGGAAATGGCAGGTAATGGCTGACATCAAAGTACTGTTTAAACAATTTCCTTGGGTGAAGAAATTAGATGCTCTGATAAAATGATGCCAATTGTCACTACAGCATTTACCAAAAGGCAGCCAACTGTTGTGAAAAAGGGAATCACCGAGGCAGCATAAGTTGGGCCTTTTCTAGGATCTCTGACCTTCCTACTCGCAGCACTGAGGAATTCTACGATCCTGCTATGCTCTCAAAAGCCTGGTCCTAGGTGGAGGAAAATCATTGCTTAGAGCAGCAGCATCTTGGAGTGAAAGTCACCAAGAAGCTCAAACTGCCTTTCTGCAGATGACAATTTCCCTTAACATTTTGTTATTCAAGTCTCCTGACAGAGGTATGGTGGACCCAAGCCTCAACTCTCTGCAACATTTTAACAACGGCATTGTCAACAAGAATAACATTGCTTATGATTGCACATTCATTGCATCAAAGGATCTCAAAATGCTCATGGGACATTCTCCCATAGGAGAAGAAATCGGACAGCTCCTAAAAAGAAGAAGGGGGGTGGGGGGCGGGGAAGCTGTAGCAAACAAGGAAAGCTCTGTCAAAAGAAAGGACATCTTAAAGTCATCTGGAAAAATCCCCATGGGAGTTCTTAGGCCACGTGAACCCACCACCTCACATTCTCATTTCCAGTTTAGCATCAGAGTCCTCACGGCTTCTGCTCTGAGCTTCAAGTCTTCTCATCTCAAATCTGGGAAATTCCAGCAAAGCAGACCTTACTAAGGCAGTGCAAAATTCCAGACATTTGTAAACATGGTACATTTTACATTTGGCACAGGAGGGAGCTCGCAGGTTCCTTTGTCTCTGAAATGTATATCCTACACACAGTCATTACTCAACAAGTCATTCTATAGCACTGGTAGCGCATGCGGGCACATGTACACCCACAAACAAAGAACCAGCAAAAATGGGAGACCCCGTGTTCTTTAGGGTTCGAACAATTTTTTAAAAAAGATACTCAGCTAAACAAACAATAAGTTCACAGTATCTAAAACTGCATATTTCTAGACTTTCACATAACTGTGGCAAAAAAACAATATCGTTGGTTAACAAGTTTCCTACTTTCTAAAGAGAATCAAGAGGTAACGTTAAAATAGCCTTGTAGAACCCAAGATCTAACATGCACCAATTGTTGATCAATGACTTTTCAAAGAAGCTATCATTGCATTGAATTGCCATTTTAGAAGTTTCCACATGATCCTGACCTTTAAAAATAAACTCTTATAAACAATGTAACATACTACATAGCATTATAGACATCTAAATAAACATAAATTATAACTTAAATACAATGCACATTTCAAAGGCTTGGCAGTGATTCTTAGAGAAAAGTTCATGGCAGTTGTAGGCTGGCCTGGACGGGCTCCGATCAACTTCCAGGCAACAATAGGGAGCCTTCGCTATCCCACAGATGAACCGTGGGAAAACTGTAGTACCAGTTAAAGCCTTGGGCTAAGATCCTTGTAAGCTTTAATTTAAGTATTAAATACTAAAGCAAACCAAACACTAGGACGTACAAGGGAGCTGAGATGAAAGCATTTTTAGCTGAAATCTAGAAATTCACTGGCTTTCTAACATATCACTTTTGCTATGAATATTTTGTCCAGATAAGATGATCATGAATATTAATTACTAACTTGATGCTAATATTGGATGATGTTATCCAAGCCAACGGCCTAGTACTGTAACTGTGAATACCACTAATGTGTACTTTGCCAGATCCTTTCCTGACAGTCAAGATTTAACTGAAGTCGAGCTCACCTATAAACTAGGACGGCAAGGAATTTGAGTCCCAATGAAGGTATCTGAGAACAGAGATCGTCCAGATAGGTACTGAAAACTCGGGACTAAGCACCACTGTGCCCAGAAAACCAGAGAACACGGTTACTGAAGATGAATGGTAGTGTTCGGAAGTCTAGTTATTTCTTGACCTTGCAGTAGTAAACTATGAAGACTTCACATACAACCACGTCGTTTCAGTGGCCGTGAGTAAAATACACCCGTACCGTACTGGATTGCTCCCACAGAGAACTACCTCAGGTCTAGTTCGATGCCTCTAGGGGCATCGAACCAAGGAACCCTCCACAAGGACGAAATTTTAAGAATCTATCAACACGGGTTTGTTTCCTAAAAGATGAGATTCAACTAAAAATTTAAAAAATGTGCAGTTTAGGATCTTCTAAACAAGGTGTTTTGGTGTGCAGAGAGAAAACTGCAAACAAAAGGGGAAGGAGACAAGTGCTGAGACGCACGTGGAAGAGAATGCAACCAAAATCAACACCAAGGAGCTCAAAGTTTTCTTAAACTTTCTCTAAACTTACAAAATTATCTAAGGGGAAATCACAGGGTACAAGTGCTGGCACCCAACTTTCCTCTGTATCATTTGCAAAAAGTACTGAACTGGGAAATTAAAACAAAATGGAAGGGTATCAGACGACTACAAGTAGAATAAAGGGAAACAGAGAAGAAATATAACATTCTAAGGTTTGGGGTTGCTGGGGTTTTCTTGTGTGTTGCGGGTGGGGGGGGTGTTGAGTTTTTGCAACACACTCAGTGGTATTCAAGGCCTACTCCACACCTCTCTGCTCAGGGGATCAAACACTTGCAGGACTCAGGGACTGCCAGGGAGTGACCTGGGTCAACACCATGCAAGGCAAATAAATGCTCTACCCACTGTACTAGCACTCCGACCCAAACTCTTTAAGGCTGTAGAATATTTACCACAGTCTAGTAAAATACAAACTCAAAAGACTGGTTTTACTCTCAGGGGATGGGGGAATCTTTGCCCTAAAACCTAGGGAGCCCAATACCCGAGCTACGTTCCCAAGAGGAATACTGGGAGGAAAGGTTTCAGGTTGCGCTATTTGACACTTCCTCCCCCTGCAAGAAGTCATTCATCTGGATATCGAGAATATGACTTTCACAGGTCCTTTTCTTTTACGAGAAAGTGCTGAAAGTGACAGTTCTAAATGTTCTTTTTGCTGCAAGTCAGACTTTGGAGCAAAATGATTGTCACCCCAAATTAAACAAGCAGCACTACTTAAATATCAAAAAAGAAAACAAGAATGCTTCAAAACTGACTCTAAGAGATAGATTCTAGTAAGCGTATACTAGCTAGGGCAGTCATTTAATCTTCGGGCCCCATGTGCAAAGTAAAGGGCTGAGAAAGAGTGCATTTAAATATGGTGCTAAAATAGATATTGCTCCACTTCCTGTACTTGGGGGAAGTCTTTCCTTCTAGGGCAGTGCTTTAAGAAAAATCTGTGATCTGCAGGCCACATGCTCCAGCTCCCAGAATCTGTTCAAATGGAAGTCCACAACCCAGACAGGGATCTGTGTGTATATGATGTATAGGATGTGTGTATGTATGTGGGTGATCAAGAATGTAAGGGGTGTGTGTGTGTTGTGTGTGTGTGTTGGGGTATGGCAGCTGAGCTTATTTTTAACAACCCAGGTGATTCTCAAGATTTTTGTGTTCAGATAATGCCTCACTAGGTCCATCATTCTCTTTAGTTACTTTCTTTTTCACAACTGCAAAACCCATTCCTATTTTCAAAAGACTGGCTATCATTTACCTAGGATCTCACTAGAGTATTACCCGTGTGTAAAAAATGCATCTAGAGATATCAAATAAAAGTTCAAAGAAAAACAAACACATCCAGGACTCTCCAGCCGACAGTGAGGCCACAGTAAAGCAAACAGCACTTTGGTTTAGATGCCTTGTTGGGTCAGGAGAAGAGGCAATCTGACAACGGTGGAGGGAAGTGGACAGTCTGGGGGAGGGTGGAGGGCTGTAACTTGACGTGAAACCCCATCATTAACAGTCCTGCAAATCAATGACTACAGGAGAATGGACTTTTTAAAAATTCTATGCCTTGTTTCCAGAGTGGCAACTGAAGTTAAGCAAGTGACCTCTATTAACACATTTGAATCAAAATTAAAACTAAATGTCTTCTGAGTGTATGTGAAGTTTGATTTAGCTGATTAATGTTACAATAGGCGTAGCCAGTTTATATGATGGGTAGGGCCTTTTCTATAAACCTAATTGTCTCCAAGTTTGATTTCAAAAATACTGTGAATGCACATATACAGTATCTTGGATAGCGTATTTTTTCTATTTGATTTGTAAATGGTAGATGTCAAATTAAGCATGTGCAAATGGAAAACAAAGCCAGAGGAAGTCATGAAATGGAGAGACTTGCTTGGTAAAGGCAGAGGGAATGTTCTGAGTGAACACAGTCCACATGCTTGGGCTGGTTACTCAGATGGTCACAATTCATCAGAAGGATATACTTGTTGGCTCATCTCAATTTGGATGTGCAAAAGGGTTTAGGAGTATGTCAGCAAAACTGTCGATGCCTTTAGTCCAGGACATTTCATGTTCAGGCTGATTGTTTCACATTTTGCAAAGGGTGGGGGGAGGAAGTGCTGGAAACAGAACCCCCACACCCCCAGCTTCCCACAATTTTATGTGAAGCAGACACTCCACCACTGTGCCCAGCCCCAGCCCCAAAAGTCTTGTTATTCAAGACATTTGGGATCTTTGAACCATGGCCGGATCAACGACCTGCATCCATGTAACCTAATAAACTGGTGTTTTTTCACTGTTAGCTTGAACATTCTCCTAGTGGCCACCTTGGATTTTAAGAACATTCACAAACAGAAAAGAGCAGGAACCAAAATTAGCTCATTGATCCTCAAATAATTTGGTGATAAATAAACGTATTTGCATTCATACTGGCAGTTAATCCTTATGGGAGATTGAATTAAGGAGAATGAATTAAGATAGTTTTCATGTTCACGGAGCCCCAAATTCGAAAGAACTCAAATTCCATAAACTGTTTGAAAGCAAAAAGCGCCTGGAACAGAGAGGTGTTCTATATGAGGAAATGATCAGTAAAAGGCCCCACTGAGGAGGGATGCTGAATACTGATGTCTGGTGCACAGCCTGGCCCTGGCATTACTGTTCCACCATTCACTGACTCAGCTATGCTATAAAAACCTTAATAACAAACTGAATCTCTTTCTTGCAAATAGGACAGGAAGCCCCAGCCTTTTTTAATCTTCTGGCACAGTGAAAACACGTAACAAGATGACCTGTCCTTCCATGAATAATGTTCCCATCTCGTGGTCTTTTCTCACACAGACTACAAGGCTTCAAGAGATTCTGGCAATCCTCCATGTTATCCGTGTCTGTCTTCTGGTCACAAAGGTTATCGGACGGTTCCCCCAGGCTTGATATGGTCTCCTGGCTTTCTGAACTCTGAGCCAAATCCAAGAATTCCATCGAGTTGCAGGGGTCAAAGAGTTTGGCGCTTTCCTCCTTTATATAAACATCTTTAGGTCTAACAACTGGAGCTGATATGGTTCTCCGGCAATCAGGGACATCAATCCCTTCATTTTCTTTCTTTTCTGGTATGGCAGTGATATCAGACGTGGAGAGAGAATGAGTTAATTTAGAACAATCTGAATACCAATCCTTCCTCAGGGCCCAGCAGCGAAAACAGTATCTCTTGCTTGGAGAGTTAAATTTCTTGCATTCAGTACACTGCCATTCATCCTACAAGATAAGTGCAGCTCATTAATATGGTGCTGAGGAAAAAGCGAGTCAAGGAGACTTATCTCGGTGAAAACCCAGATATTTCAAACCAATGGCCTCACCTAGAACACAGTTTGCAACTACAGATAAGAAAGTTTTGGGCAGCGTTATACTTGACAGTAACCCAACCGTCATTTCAAGTGAGAATCTGATACTGAATTATTTTAGCTTTCTATTTAATCTGAGTGAATCTACATTTGCTTTCCCCCCACCCACTCGTATTATGTCATTTCTTCTTGCAACAACTTATTTTTTTATTGACCACCAGGCGAAAGAAGAACAAAAGAACACTCAGTCACTCTTTCCTGCTAATAAAAAAAAAGTATGAGATTTGACAAAAACCAAGCAAAATGAAAATGAGACAAGAACAACCAAGTTGACACGGGATTGCTCACTTCCTTCAGGAACCAGGTATTACTGTGGACATCAGTGGCGCTGACAGGATCAGTGGTTTGACACAGCTCACTGTTTCCCCAGCCAAAGTCAAGCACTGCAAGTTTGGAAGGCGGAAATCAAGTACACTGCTGCACTGGGGCATATTCCAGAGCCAGAGAACATCCCTACCAGTAAGAGAACCCCAGATCTCATCTGAAATGCTCAACAGACATGCAAAGGAGCTAATTTTTTTGTTCCTGGTTTTTGTTTGGTTTTGGGGGCCACAATGCTCAAGGGTTACTCCTGGCTGCTCTGCACTCAGGGATTACTACTGATGGTACTCAGGGAACCAAATGAAACGCAGGGATTGAACCCTAGTTGACCACATGCATGCAAGGCAAATACACTCTCCACTGGACTCACTCTCTGTTTCCAAAGGAACTTCATAAAGATTTGGTATTTATAACTCACTGTGTTGTGGTCTAACTGGAATCACTATTTTAGTTACACGTAAAATGACAAAAGTTAGAGTGGATAAGGCACTTGCCTTGTCTGTGCGGACCTGGGTTCAATCCCTGGCATCCCAAATGGTTCCCCAAGCACTGCCAGGAGTGATTCCTGAGCACAGAGTCAGGAGTAACCCCTGAGCATTGCCAACAGCAGCTCAGAAATAACAACAAAACCCTTATTAAATTCAATGGCATCTTTGACTTGGTGACATACAGACTATTTGCTTAACAGGTTTTGGGCCTAAGTAGCTGGAATAGTCTATTTAAGATGGAAACCTCTATCTTTGCTATTTTAATTATGCTCAAAAACACTTAATAGAACAAACAGTCTGCTTTATTACTTCGTAGTATACAGAAAATTTGCAAGGAACTGCCATAATGGGAACATCAGGTGGGAAGGGAATAGGACAAGATTACCAAGTAGTAAAACTAGAAGCCTTTATCCTCAAACAACAAAATTTTTTAACTCTTCCATTTTTTTTTAAATTCCCCACACCTATACTACCGCCCCCCTCCCCACTTCCTATTGCAGGTTACCTAGGGGAAGTACTAAATGGAAAATGGGATCTGGCATCAAAATGTATACATCCAAGGCTAGACCTGAGTTGCCAATTGGTTTACAAATCAATACCTATACTAAACAACATTAAATATTAAAATTAAACATTTTAAAAATAAAAACATTAAATATTAAATCTTTGTGCCTTGCATGTAATGAAGTTGCAAATGCACATACAAACACACACACCCCTAAAACTAGATCCTCATTAACTAGCCTTTCCACTACTATAAACCTGTATGGAACCTCAACTCTTTCCAAACTTTCCTTCTTATTCTGGTTTCTCAGTGGTGCTAGAGGTCCACGACAGTCCAAACTCTGCAAGACAAGCAGCTTAGTCCTTGCATTCTTGCTCCTGTACCTCCATGTTTTTAGGAAACCACTGAAAAGGTTATTTTTCTACTCAACAAGGAATTTCTGATAGCTTATGAATCTGCCTTAGGATCGGAGAAGTGCTTAATGGGGAAAGTAGAGCGTAACTATTTTAAATAATTGTGCTCACTGCATGAAATCCAAAGAATTTCAAAAGCAGGGGAAAAACCAGAGAGGCATTTATTTATGTCATCCTTTACAAGGGAGAGAGAATTACATCAACTCACTCCCTTTTCTTCTCAAACTTCAAAAAAAATTCTCCAATAAAGTATAAATAAATCGATACCTCAACACTTAGAAAAGGCAGTCAGAATTGGGAGTGGGGGGACGGCACAAGAGAACCGATGGGTATTTAGAAGGCACGAAATAACCCTTTATTGGGTAACCATACCTCAGAGGTAACTTCAACATCAGTTTCATCACTTAAGGACTTAGAGTCCTCAAATTCATCATTTTTTCCCACTTCAATCACCTGTAAAGACAAGTCATTAGTAAGGCTTACTTATTTAAGATGAGGTTATCACCTAAAAGGTTAAAAAGAAAAAAAGACCTAAAAGCTTTAACTTGTAACTCATAATTTATGTTCTGGACGAAGGAGACAGCTCAGTTGAGGGCAGGATCAGAGTTTGAACCTGACAGTACACTATCCCCCAAAGCACTGTCCACTGTGGCCCTGAAGACCTCTCATCACTGGGGGTAGGAGGCCTTCGTGGTCCCCAGCACTGCAAGACCCCAAGCAGTTCTGTATCCTCAAGCCCGAGCAATGAAACAACTTGTCACTTTGGCCAAGTGTTGACTTAGCTCCGTAAGTACTACTTAAGATACTATGCACCCTCCTAGATAGAGAGACATACAGACACACATACATACACACACACACACACACACACACACACACACACACACACACACACACACAGACCAGAACAACAGAAGAGAATGGAGCAGAAGATTCACATTCTGTTTCACTCACTAACACAAAATGAGACCAAACATAACTTAATTCGCCCTTACTGGCATTTTAATAGAATAAATGATTGAAAAAGCACCCTAAAGGGTTCCTAAGAAACACTATCCCATATTTAACACGGGCCTTGCACGCAGTTGACCAGGGTTTGATCCCCAGCATCACATCTGATGCTACTGAGTCCCATCAGTAGTGATCCTTGAACACAGAACTTGGAGAAAGCCTTGAGCACAGTGTGGCCGAGAAACAAAAACAAGAAACAACAAATGTGAATCTTAAAATTGGCTCTAATACAATATTGAGTCAAGAGAAAGACCGTGAGACCACTTATACACACAGGTGCAGACCAGACTGCAAGATCTGAGACAAACACACTCGACACACAAACAGTCCATGTGAAGTTTTCACAACATACCTTTTTTTCTCTCATTTTTCCTACTTCTGATTGTTCAGAATCAGCAGCTTCCACTTTTATTCCAATACCGAACTGCTCTGACACTGACTCATTCAAAACCCACAAGTCATCTGTGGTGTCTGAAACAACTGCAGTACCTAGATCCTAAGAGAAACACAAACAAACAAGAACTTTGTAGTCAGAGTTTCATCAAAGCTATGCCTAAGGGAGCATATATATTCCCAGACAACAAACCAACACATGTGAACTCAAAACTCAACGTCCAAGGAGTCGGAAAGAGAGTACAAGGGTTAAGATGTTTGCCATTCATCCTTGGCACTGCATCTAACTGCCTGAGCACTGCAGGGGCAACTCCTGAGCACTGTCTGATTTAGCCTAAAATCTTAAAAACAAAACACACACCAAAAAAATTCAATAACCCATGCTGATGAGAGAGCTCCCACGGGTTGGGGATGCATACTTGGAACGTAATTTGATTCCCAATATGCATAGCACACGAGTGGCCCCGGGCATCTTTTGGCGTGTCCCCAAAACAAAAGCAAAAAGGTTTCAAAGTCCTCATTTATCTCCAAAGAACACCTATCCATTCAGCAAACATCTACTAGGTTGGACATAAGCATACCTGACATTTTCTATTTTCTTTTTTAACAACCAATCAGCTTTAACACCTAGAAATACTGCAAAACTTAAAGGGTGAAGACCAGGGTAGGCAGATGATGGCGCAAAAAACTGGAATATATCCTTTGTATGAGGAAAGCTGGATTCTATACCCCTCCGCACCCAAGAAGGGGAACAGACTCAAATCTATTTCCTCTCCTCCTTTCCCAGAGCTTCTGAGGTAGCACTCTCAGAGGCAAGAAAACATTCTATTGTGACGTAGTTTTTAACAATCTTCAATGTTTATTACATGGGTGCAGGAGAGAGAGTATAGCAGGGAGGGCTCTTGACCTCTACACAGCTGCCCAAGTTTGCTCCCTGGTCCCCTAAATGGTCCCCGGAGCCCACTAGGAGTGATCCCTAAAGGAGTAAGCCCTGAGCTTATGGTATGATTCCCCCCCCCCCAAAAAAAAAGAAAAGAAAAAGTGAGCAATGCTCATTATAGAAATGAGCAATACTGATGGCAATTCAAACCTTTTGTCCTCTTTCTCAAATATTCTTTTAAAAGGTTTTGTGCAATCAAAAGGAATCAAACCCACGGCCACACACAATAAAGTCCTCTACCACATCCATGGTCCTGGGCCCTCTTTCAGCCTTAAACAACCTTATATATATAACTATACTTTTGTTTTCATCTACAAACATTTTGTGGTATAATTCTGTAAGTAAGTAGCAAAAAAACTTTATTGTTCTTTCATCTACCAAATGAGCATTTACTGAAAGCTTAAGTATCAGATACTATTCTAATTAGTAGGCAACAAACAATATTGGGTAACACAGGGTTAGAAACAGTACAGGATAAGACACGCTCAGCTTTGCATCCTGCTGATCTGCTGACCCTTGTCTGAACCCCTAATACAACATATATTTCTCTGAGTCAGGAATAGGCCCTGAGCACACCTGGTAATGGGCCCCAAAAACTGAAACAACCCCCACCCCCGCAAAAGAATAGTGAATAATATTAAACCTTTGGACTTAATATTCCAGTGGAGACGTGTAAAACAGACAATAATATGCAAACAAAATGAACACATTTCAGAGAGGATACAAAAAATGATAAAGGAACAAAACAAGAATGAAAGTAATAAAAATAGGTTAAATTGTTGATGTGCTCTGGATGAAAAGTCCATAACCTGTCTGAGGAAAATTAAACAGAAAAAAAAAAACAGAAGGACTAGAGATCACCAGCTGGAAATACGCTTTCAAGCATGCAGGAGGTCACAGTCCCACACAGAGGACCACAAGTTCTGTGATATCATCAAGAGTGAGCTCTTGGCACTGAGCGAGCAGCCCTTGAGCACCAGCAGGTATGGCCCCAGAACCAAATATAAACAAAGAAAGCAAATATATATGGTCCAAGAACCACATGGTCCAAATACTGGTAAAACAACCCTGAGTCCCAAGTCAGGAAAAACCCTCAAGGAGCACTAGGTGTAGCCCCTAAGCAAACAACCAAAAACATATACCTGGGGGCTGGAGGGAAATCAATACTGAAGAACTGATTGAATAGCAGAGCCGGTAGGACGTTTGCCTTGCACACGGTCGACCCAGGTTCGATTCCCAGCATCCCATATGGTCCCCCGAGCACCACCAGGAGTAATTCCTGAGTGCAGAGCCAGAAGTAAGCCCTGAGCATCACCAGATGTGAAGGTGTGACCCCCGACCCCGCAAAAAAAAAAAAAAAAAAGAACTGTTTGAAACATGCTGACTTAGTTACAGCACATAAGTGGATATGTTGTGGATATGTTGTGGAAGTCACTGGATATGAAAGCTGTGCATCTTTCTTTCTTTCTTTCTTTCAATGCGCGGGGATTACTCCTGGCTCATGCACTCAGGAATTACTCCTGGCGGAGCTCAGGGAACCATATGGGATGCTGGGAATCGAACCCAGGTCAGCTGCGTGCAAGGTAAACACCCTACCCACTGTACTATTGCTCCAGCCTCCAAAAGCTGTGCATTTAGAGGAAAGGTCAGAACTAAAAGTTTGACTTGGACAGGAAATGCATACAGATATATATGCACACAAAGTTAAGAACACTGAATGAGAACTCAGACTGCACACTGAATTATCAAGAGCAATGAAGAATGTTACTCTTTCAAAACAGAAGTTTCCCTCAAACACGTGATTTACCTGATTTGTCTGTAAATCAGTTGAGCCATTACTCCTAGGCGTATAGCTGTTTCTCACATTTCCTAGAAACCACCATGGCAGACCAGATACATCCCACTCCTCAAACCCAAGGTCCAGGCTGGATGTCTCATCGTGGGCTAAATTTTCTATCAGGTCTTCACCTAGGACAGAACAGATAACTACTATATAATACTCAGAAATTTTCTCTTTACAATACGTATATTTGTTCTCAAGATCTGTGACAAAATTTCTCTAAGACAAAATCAGACATCAGTCTCTCAGGGGCAGAGCCCAGGTGCTCCTTGCTATAGGATTTCGTTTAAAAAATGATGAGCAGGAGGGGCTGGTGCAATAGTACAGCAGGTAGGATGCTTGCCATGCACCTGCCCAACCTGAGTTCTCAGCACCCCGTATGGTCCCCAAGTTCTGCCAGGACTGAGCAACAGAGTCAGGAGTCAAGCCTAAGCCTCGCCAAATGTGGCTCCCAAACCAAAACCATAATAATAATAATAATAATAATAATAATTATCACGGTCCTCCCGTTGTTCATCGATTTGCTCGAGCGGGCCCAGTAATGTCTCCATCATGAGACTCATTGTTACTGTGTTTGGCATATCAAATACATCACAGGTAGCTTGCCAGGCTCTGCCATGCGGGCGAGATACTCTCGGTAGCTTGCCGGGCTCTCCGAGAGGGGCGGAGGAATCAAACTCGAGTCGGCCATGAATAATAATAATAATAATAATGGGGCTGGAGCGATAGCACAGTGGGTAGGGCATCTGCCTTGTATGTGGCCGACCGGAGTTCGATTCCTCTGCCTTCAATTCCTCCACCTCTCTAGGAGAGACTGGCAAGCTACTGAGAGTATCTCGCCCTCACAGCAAAACCTGACAAGTTTCCTGTGATGTATTTGATATGCCAAACACAGTAACAATGTTACTGGGCGCATCGAACAAATCGATGAACAAGAGGAGGGCAGTGACAGTGAATAATAATAATGAGCAGGGACCCTGATCATCACCAGATATGGTCCAAAAAATTAAAATTAATAAATTCATTAACTGAAAAATAATGAACTGGATGGGGCTGGACTTCAGTGGGTAGGGCCGTTTGCCTTAGCACCTGACCTGGGTTCAATCAATGGTAATTTGTTATTGTCCCTTGAGCCCCACCAAGAATAAATCCTGAGTGCAGTGCCACGAGTAAGCCCTGAGTGCGACCCAAAAATAAAAAAAAAAACAAAAAAAAACAAAAACAAAAAAACCCAAAACCAAAAAAAACAACGGGAGAGAAAGCTCAACAGACTGAGTATACAAACTTCACAGAAGAGATCCATTTCCGATCCCTGGCACTGCATGGTCCCCTGAATGTCACCAGGAGTGGCCCCAAAGCACAGAGCCACTGAGACTTGTTGGTTAAGGTCTCAAAACCAAAATAAGTGAATAATTAATATTAGAATGACCCCATAGAGATAATACAGCAGATAAGGTACTTGCCTTGCCAGGTTCAATTCCAGATTCTGCATATGGTCCCCAAGCCCCACTACAAGTGAACCTTAAGCAAAGCATTCTGGGTGTGGCCCAAAAACAAAAAGTTCATTTATAAGGAAATTTAAAATATGAAGAACCAAAGAATGACTGTTCTAAAAGATTTCTAAATAGTCATTTACTGGTATTTTAAACATTCATACTACTGCAAAAACTGAAAAAAAAAAAAAGAGAGAACTACAGATTCCCACCAAAACTTATTTACCTACTGCCCCTTTTTCAGGAAAGAAATGACTCACCACCCCCTTCCTCGTCCCATCTAATTTCGCTAAGAGAACAGAAAGCACCCTCCAATAGGACCTCCACCCTCATGGTTCAGTGTCCTCAGGCGGCCAGCAGCTCCCACTTCGGGGCATGTAGGCTAGCACACAGTGCCTGATAATGGCTAATCATGTCAGATCTGCTGAACTAGAAACAGTAATGACTTAGCAGCCAATCCTTGAGACAAAAATCAAACAGTACCGTCCATAATAGTGATCATAAGGCTGTCAGAGCAGTTTCATTCTTACCACATATTTTGAAACATCTCTCCATAAATCTTGTTTTTATTGGGCGGGGAAGGGGGGAGCATGGGGGCAGGGAGTCTCTCTCAGTAGAGTACAGGGGACCCGGTGTCACTCCAGGAATACCTGGCCAACCCAACCAATGGTTCACTGATAAGACCCAAGGATGTTGTGTCACACCAGGGACCAACAGGAGGGCCACCCCAGCCGTGCTTGATACATCTGGCATCTTAGTACATCTACTGTAGGACATCTGGCTGTATTAGGGAGGCCAGATGGGGCCAGAAATCAGACATGGGTCAGGTGCACGTTCTGAGGGCCATATACACCTATTTTTGTTAGGCTGCAGTCAACCATTATATAATACACTGAACTACAGGTTGTCGGAAAGTAATACATATACACCCCTTCTGTATCAATGGGAACTTTTTTGAATTAAGAGAGTATCTGAGGGACCACAACACCCAAAACGAGAGAGAGAGAACACAGGGGATTGCCCTGCCACAGAGGCAGGGGGGATGGGGGGATGGGGGTGGGGGGGATATTATCCATGGTGGTAGAAAATGGGCACTGGTGGAGGGATGGGTATCTGATCATTGTATAATCGAAACCCAAGCACAAAATATTGTAAATCTACAACTGTACCTCATGGTGTTTCACTAATAAAAAAATAAAAATAAAAAAATAAAAATTTAAAAAAAGACATAAAAAAAAAGAGAGTATCTGAGGGAGCTGGAGTGATTAACACAGCAGGTAGGGTATTTGCCTTGCACGCGGCTGACCCGGGTTCGATTCCCAGCATCCCATATGGTCCTCCCGAGCACCGCCAGGAGTGACTTCTGAGTGCAGAGTCAGGAGTAACCCCTGTGCATCGCTGGGTGTGACACAAAAAGAAAAAAAAAAAAAGTACCTGAAATCTAGAAATATTGCAAATCCAAAGTAAATTACAGTCTCACAAATTCTGTAAAAGATCTGTCATACATTGAAGTGGCATTTTAGGCCGCTTCTAACTAGGCCAACTAGCACATGCACTTCTTTTCATCCAATCATATTCCATCGTCCTCAGTCATAGCTGAGGTATATATAGTAGAAAAAATTCTGTACTAAGTACGTCCTGACCATGGGGTCGAAGCAAGTGAGATGCTTGTATTGCACACCACTGACCCAGGTTCGATCCCCAGCACCCCATATGGTCCCCCAAGTCCACCAGGAGTAACTTCAGAGCACAACCAAGTGACCCCAAAACAAAAACAAGTCCTGGCCAGAACAAAAGGTCATCCTATCAATTTATGTTAACCCCACCTATTAAAAAGCTTTTTGCCCAGGTCAAGACCAAACATCTGGTCCTCCAAGCCCCACCAGGGATGATTCCTGAGTACAGAGCAGGAGTAAGCCTGAGCACCACCATGTGGCCCAAAAACAAAAATAAAAAAATATATAACCTGCAGCTCGGGAAGCACTGCACTGTAGCACTGTCCTCCCGTTATTCATTGATTTGCTCGAGCAGGCACAAGTAACATCTCCATTGTGAGACTTGTTACTGTTTTTGGCATATCAAATACGCCAGGGGGAGTTTGCCAGGCAAGATATTCTGAGTAGCTTGTTGGGCTCTCCGAGAGGGACGGAGGAATTGAACCTGGGTCAGCTGCGTGCAGGGCAAACGCCCAAATTTACATATTTAATACCACATATACTGGAATAGTTCCAATGTAATCAGGGAATCAAAAATTTAGTTTATATCCAAATACAATTTGAAAAAAACTTTCCAATACAATAAACGATTCAACCGTAATCTAAACATTTTAACAACATACTTTCTTGCTTCAAATGTGAGTCAGATACCTAACAATCAGGACATAAAATACCCTAAAGTAAATTTTGATTTTACACAGCTTTGTAGAACAAGACTTAGGAGCTATTTTATAAAATAGCATTTGGAGGAATTTGTACAATACCCATCAACCTTTATCAATTTGGAAAATAAAGAACTGGTATGGAAAATAAAGAACTGACGACCACCATTAAAGGACAGAGGAGCTAAAGCATTCTTATATACTTTATTGTGTACTCTGATGTACTAAGTATAGCTTGCTCTGTCAATATCTATTGAAATCAGTCCTCGTCTCTAACATACAAATGAAAAGAAAAACTCTGACCAGATGGAATGTATACAAGGCTTCCAAGATTTAAAGGCCAAGACAGAGTGGCCACATGGCACACCCGTAAGTGTGTAGCTAACTACTTCTAGCATGTTAAAGAAGGGCTGCTAATACCAAGTAAAGGATGTTTGGAGGACTCACTTGGGATGCAAGATGCTTGCTGAAAGTAGACTATAGAATGAACATGATGGTTACTCAATACTTCGACTGCAAACTACAATACCCTAAAGGAGAGAACAAAAGGGAATGCCCTGCCACAGAGACGGGGTGTGGGGGAACGGGTGTGGGGGGGTGGAGGGCTACTGGGATCATTGGTGGTGGAGGATGGGCACTGGTGGAAGGATGGGCACTCGATCATTGTTTAACTGAAACCCAAGCACAAAAGTCTGTAAGTCTTACAACTGTACCTCATGGTATTTCACTAATAAAAAAAAGGGGGGGGCTGCTAGTAGAGCACCACACTTTCTTCAAAACCAACAATAGTACTTAAGAATAAAACCAAGAAAAGGGGGTGGGGGGTTTCAGAAAAGAGTGTCACATATGCCTCTCTTACTGTGCATAAAAGCAATAGCATTATTATTATTGTAATCAGTTCCCTAATGGTCTTAGACCTTAATGTGAACAGATGTCACAGAGGAATGAAGGAGGAAAGGAAAAATAAGGCCAGGAAGAGGGGGAAGGAAGAGAGCTAAACAGACTTAATCCAAAATTACCTTCTCCAGAACTCCTGCATTTATGCTGTGAGGTAGGCAGTACGGGAATATTGCCTTCTTCAGGTCTTCTCCGGGAACTGGAATTTTCCTCTGCACTTTGCTGAAATGAAGACAACAGTATATATCAACACCCCTGAAATGACAAAGACCAGGGGATGTAGCAGTTCCACTCTAGCTCACCAGGTAGTGTGTAACACAATGGGTTACACACAGAATTCTCAAGTTCACAAGCAATCATCAAACACAGGCAACACCACTCCTCAATCCACTGTGAGCAAAGCTAGAATCCCAAACACCTGGGGGTTTGTAAACACCTCTCTGCAGAGAAGGCCAAAACCTACTATTAAAAACAAGCTATCGAAGTCTGTGAAACCCTCGGTAAACATCGAGATAAAGTTTTCCCATGATTAAGGAAACTTTCAGAAATGACTTAAACTGAACTACAACAAGCCTGTTAAAATCTAACAAAGCAGTTTCTTCAAATACTTAGGGACATACACCATCACGCAGACAGCACACAAAAGCCCCAAAGAAAATGGAACTGGAAGAACTAAAGACCAGAAGTGCTACATCCCAAAGAAATAATCAGAGACTGGAACTCTGGGAAGAACAGAGAAGGTTCACTCTGTCCTGGATCTGGGAACTCCCAAGAACCTTTCATAGTAAGTCTTACCACATTCAGGGAAAGAAAGGCCTTGGGAGTCCAAATCCACAGGTACAGAGAAGGGGCCACTCTGTACAACAAAGAGGTCACCATGTGGTGATTTACCTTCAGTTGGTCTTGACTTGGAATATCCATACTGTGATCCTGTGCGAGAGCGAGAGTCTGAGCAGCATCTGGATAGCAAGTAAAACAAAAGGAAAACCTTCCCTGGTAATAACCATTCTTTCCACACGCAAAGGACCTAGCTAACAACCCTGGAGCAGGTTTGGTCCCTAGAGATGTGCTTCTCTCCATATGGTTTGGACAAAGCTCTCAGTTACAAGGAAGGAAAAACCAGGCTCTATTCAAGATAAAGTACCAAAATCTGGGGGGGGGGATGAAGAATTACTAAACATGTTCTTTCCAAACAAATTTTCAAATGTAAAGGAGAAATGGGACCAAGCAGGGAACGAGAATACTTGCACACCTTCCGGCAGGTATTTATTACCAAATGTGCCGAACCCTGTGCCCAAGCAACAAGTGTGATTTCTAATTTCAATTTCATTTTCTAGTCCTTAAGACATAAACAGGGTTAGGAGACTTGAGCAATTCTGGGATTCTACTTGCTTTGCTTGGTTGTGGGTTTTTTTTGTTGTTGTTTTTTCTTGGGGGAGGGGGGGACTGGGCCACACCCATCAATGCTCATTGGGTTACTCCTGGCTCTGCATTCGGGAATTAGTCCTGGAGGTGCTTGGGGCCGGGGGACCATATGGGATGCTGGAGATCAAACCCGGGTCAGTTCCATGCAAGGCAGGCGCCCTCCCTGCTGTACCATCACACTGGCCCCCTTCCCTACTTGTTTTGTAACACAGTCAAATCTTCAAATAAACTTACATCCTGAGTGTTAAAGATGATTTCAGACTTTAAATTTTCACCACCACCTGAAGTACAGACTAGTTTATCTGTTTGTTTTGAGGGAGCCACACCTGGAATGCTTGGGGATCACTCCTTGTTCTATGCTCAGAAATCACTCCTGGCATTGCTCAGGGGGACCATGTGATGCCAGAGATCAAACAGAGTCAGCAGCATGCAAGGCAAGCACTGTGCCCACTATGCTATCTCTCCAGTCCCTAGGTTACCCTTTTTTAACCCAACAATTTTGTTTTCCCCATTATTATAAATTGAAAGAGGAAAAAGCAGGTAAAATTCTTCCTCAAAGTCAAAACAGAAAACAACCTAAAGAAAAAATTCTTAAGACAGATAAAGGACTTAAAAAATTTTTTCAACTAGAATGGAGATGAAAACTCAGTACAGGAAAAGAACATGCTATAGAGAATGTAACAATCTGGACCATTCATTATTGAGTGATTTTGGGGGTTGGGGCAGGGGAACAGGAGTGAGGCTTGGGTCACACCCATAAAGTGCTAAGGAGATATTCCCAGTTCAGTACTTAGAAGTGCAAGCACCTTAACCCAAACTATCTCTCTGCTCCTCGTTGGTCTCACATAACCAAGATGCACCCAATTAAGTCTATCAGATACTGGGTTCATCAGCTACTATTGTCTCATTTTGGGTTCTGGTGTTTTGGGTCACAACTGGCAGTGCTCTGGGTTTGCTCCTGCCTCGTGTTCAGGAATCACTCCTGGCGGAACTCAGAGGACCAAGAGGTACTAAGAATTCAACCAGGGTCAACCACAAACAAGGTAAGTGCCCTACTTGCTGTGCTATCTCTCCATCCCCCACCAGCTACCATTAAAAAAAACTGTCAGAAAATATCATCCTCAAGATATTTAAGAGGAAGAAAAAAAAAGATTTCCACAGCTGGTTTGACCATGCACATTTTCAAAACTTTCAGTTTTCATTTCTAAAAATTCATTTTTCATTAAATAATATTAATGAAATTAATATTAATAACAAAAATATTCCTAGATAAGTTTTGTTATTGTTATTTGGGTCACACCTAGTGATACTCAGGGATTACTCCCAACTATACACTGTGGAATCACTCCTGGTGGTGCTAAGGGGAACATATGGGATGCTAGGGATCAAACCCGGGTCAGATGCCTGTGAGGTCAGCACTTTACCTGCTATACTATTGCTCTGGCATCACTATGGAGGTATTTTTGTAAGTGGAAATACTGAGAAGTTCAAGAAACAGTCTTTTTTGGCCACAGTAGTCTTCAAAGATCAGTTAACTCACAATCAAATAAAACACTAATAAAGCAATCTGATATTGCCATGTATAGTTTGGGGAGTTGTTGTGTTTAAAATTTTTGTCTTTGGACCGCACTCAGCAGTTCCCAGGAGTGACCCTTGGAGGTGCTTGATACTGAGCCAGAGCCAGCTGTATGCAATGCAAGAGTCTTATTACCACTCCCACCCTGAAACATATAGTTTTAAAGCCTCATTATGTTACTTAAGAAGAATAAATTTAAAAAATTACCTGGGAAAATCAGAATCACAAATTCATTTTTAAATAAGTTTGTCACATTTTATTAGTGCATATGTAGAAATTTAGAAAAACACTTCATCCAGAATCACCCTAATGGAGCCGGGGAAGATAGCCCACAGGGTGAGAGCAGATGCCTGGCAGGCACAAGCCCCCACGTATGACCTCCAGCATCCCAGGGACCCTCAGCACCACTGGGTATAGCCCGGCAAGTCCGTGAGCACCACCAGAGTAGTTCTGGGGGGCCCCAGCACACATCATAAGAACAAGCACTGTCAGGACACATCATAAGAACAAGCACTGTCAGGTCCCTGAAGGAAGGACCGCTGTCACCATGAGGAGGCTAGGGAACCCTGAGCACTGCACCTGGGAAGCCCCCCCCCCCCCCAAAAAAAAACCCACAAAGCCCACTTTCACTCTAAATAGTGGCATTTTCTTCAACCATCAAAATTCATTCCTAATTTAACTCATTTGCAAAGCTGTAACATAGGGGTTAAAAAAAAGCACTTTCTCATCAGTCCTTTAAAATAAAACACACACAATCCAATTTACAGAGATGCAACTTACAAGCACAGTCCAAGTGAAAGCAGACAATCGAAATTACTTGGAGGCAATTTCCTGGCTTTGCTCAGTGTACCATCGACAGCTATGTAAGATGTTACAATCTGATTTAAGAGTACATGGAATTCTAGAATTCTTTAATGAGTTTTTAAGTCGCATCATTTCAAAGGGATAATAATTTCAAAGTAAAAACACAAAGTGTTTTGGGGGGAATGTATTGAGAAAGTTAACGGGAGGAGATGCTATTATAAGGGATAAAGGGACAAGAACGTGAGACCCAGTAAGAGCCAGGGCCGACTAGTACGAAATCCCTGCTCGGCCACCGTAATGGCATCAAACCTTGGACAAATCACTTATTCTATTAAAAATGAAACACAGTGTCTACATCACCAAACCTTCCTCACAGCGTTGTTAAGAGGATCATTTGAAACGTTCATTAGAGAAGTGTTCATTTTAATTTATGGCTCGCTAAATTCTACAGTGTAAGAAAATGAGTGGAAAAAAAAAAAAGAAAATGAGTGAAAAAAAGGTAAAAATTATACCCGTTCTAGATATTCAAATAAGAGCTCAATCGGAAAACAAATACTATCCCAGGAAAACTAAACTATTTCTCAAGTGACTGAATTTCAATAACTCGCTTTATTATTTGCAAAAACCTTCCCTCTCATAGAGAAAGGTACAGCTAAGTGAAGTAAGCAAACACACTGGAGAAACCAACTAGCTTCAAAATTCATATTCTGAGTAAGTTCCAGATCTTGTTTCACTGAAAAAGAGCCCAACAAAAAGGTCACAAGCTTGGGCTCTCTTCAAAGGATGTTACTTAAACTCATTTAGAAACTGTAAAAGGTGGGCATTTGGGAATGGGAATGGAGGAATTGGAAACAAGCTACGTTTCAATTTTGTCCAGGTTATTTATTCTCTTATCTCCAAATATACCACCCTTCTGATGACAAAGTAGCCAATTTTCAGCACATTAAATGCAAAGGGGGGCTTGGCAAAGGGTTAATTGAAGAATCTGCCATTCAGATGCCAGAAAGTATGGCCTTTAAGTGGAAGGCTGTTGATCAGCCTTCCCAAAGTGACAGCACAGCTGTGGGAGGCGCAGTAGGCTAAGGTGCAGCTGTGCTGTGCTTCTTATCTGTTCCCTTGGAGAAAGTGGACTTCCAGGGAGCTCCTGGAAATACTTTTCTGAAAGAGGGCAGCAGGCCAAGGAAATTTTGAAAACTCTGTTCTTAGGGGCCTTCAACAGGCCCTTCAGGCTTTTAAACATCTCCCCAGTGCTGCAACAGATATACAAAACACCTATGAACATCTGACAAAAAACGGAAACTTGAATCTACTCAAACACTACTAGTTGAAAGGTAAGTCATATGAAGAACAGTCATGACCAGAGAGTCACCAGAAACCTCATGAGGATATAGCCTCTAACACTAGAATGTGGAAAATTCTGCAAGTGATCCATTTCTTTAACTGACATGAAAACAAAAAGATTAAATTTTGTACACTAAAGAAACTTAAAAACATTATCAGTCAAGTGCAGTGTGAAATGTAGTTAGATCCTGACTTGAAAAAGCCAAGTGCAGAAGGGATTTCTGACATGACTGAGGGAAACATAAACAATGACTATTGGATAAAACTATGGAGTTATTTTCTGTCAACATTGTTATAATTCTGGCATTGCCGTTATGTTGAAGAAAGAAATCCTTATCTGTTAGGAGTTTTAGAAAATCTTACATTAAAGCAAATAAGGCAAAACTAGTGATCAGTTAGGGGAGGCATTAATCTATTTTTTGTATACATGGAAATTTCACAACGAAAGGTTAAACAGCACAATACGGACATTTTGTGTAAGCCGCCCCTCCCAGTCATGCCGAGACAGCGCTCTATTTGCATTCTGCTCTCCCTTGCTCTCCCAACATTTGCCCCCTGAATTCAAAGCTGTGATACATACTGAAAAAATATGATGTGACATACCTGTAGTAGCAGTGGCTAAAGTGACAAGATTCTTTCTTAGCATATCATAGAGAGGGCTGTCAAAGAAATTATTTTAAAAATTAACACGTTTTTCCATTAAAATGCTAAGTGTCTCCCTGACTGCTATCTCTCAACTTTCTCTGTTACATATTCAAAGGCAGAATTCTGGGGTCAGTATTTTGTTTTGGATGCTAACCCAGGGGTGCTCAGGTTACCCCCAGCACTGCCTGGGATCAAACTGGGGCGTTCCAAATGCAAAGCACATGCTCCAACCATTTGAGCTGTCTTTTTTGGCTCCTCAGAGGCATAATTTTTTTGCCCAGTATAGGTCTGTTTGTTTTTTTTTTAAGCCACAACTGGCAGCATTCAGGGCTTACTCCTTGGTCTGCACTCAAATATCATTCCTGGCAGAGTTCAAGGGACCATATGTAGAACCATGGATCAAATCTAAGTCAGCAGTTTCTCCACACTATCTCTCTATCTGCCTTCCTCCCCTCGCTGCCCCAAGGTAGACTACTTAAGGTACAGTGGCCAGGAGATGTAGTTCAGTAGTATGGCACAAGATTTAAATGTTGTGGGGTTCGGGGTTTTTGATTTTTGGTAATTGTACGTGAAGGGGATGGAGACAATACAGTTGGCTGGATGCTTGCCTCACACACATTCGATCCAGGTTTGATCCCCTTAATGTCCCCCAAGTCTTAACCAGGAGTGATCCCTGAACACAGAGCCAGAAATAAACTCCAAGCACCACCCAGTGTGACACAGAAACAAAAAATAAATTTGAACTTGGTGGGTTCAATCCCCAAAACCATTTTTTAAATATTTAAATATCAAGATGCTAAAGCCTAAGCCCGATGTTTGTTACCCCTAAAAAATGAGTTAACGGTGGTATTCAGTGAGCACCATCAGGGATGATTCCTAGGCAGAGCCGGGAATGGCTCCTGAGCACCACCACTGGGTCTGACCCAAAACAAAGAAAGAAAGAATGGGTGGGAGAGAACTGATCTCTGGAGGCCGAATGATCCCCAACACCACAAGGCTCCTGGATAGTGCTCAGGTCCCAGGCAATGAGCTGGGAGTAGACCTTGAGCACTCCCAGGTGTGGCCCCCAAACAAAAAGAATTTCTATTTATAGAAGTGCGGGGTGGGGAGTGGACTGTGCCTGGCTTGATGTGCAGGACTTACTCCTGGCTCCTGCTTAAGGGTCACTCCCAGCTGCGCCTGGGTTACTGCATGCAACGCTGGGGATTCAAGGGGGTTGACCGCGTATGTTAGTTACTGCACGCAGAGCCTTACCTCCTACACTATCTCTCCTGAATTCACATTTTATTTCACTAGCTATTTGTAGCCCCAATTGGGCAAATTTCCGTCGCCCGAAATAATCCTTTCAAGGAATTAAGTTTTCTATCATAAATTGGTAGTAAGGGTGAGAGTTTTATCAAAGTAAGATAAATGAGCTTAGAAGAAGCAATCATGAGAAAGCACAGAGTGAAAGAACACTGGCCTCTCAATCACTTGTCGACTTTTGACTGTGTAAGCCAATAAACATACACCCTCACACCTGGGGTTAACAGAACTGGTCAGAGCAGCTCTACTGTGATTCTTAGAAAGCACATAGTCATCCTCAAACTGCCTGGGCAACTTCCCATTTCTTTCATCAGCTCACTTACCCTCGCTCTAGAACCATTACCGCACACATTCTGACCAGAGACAGCAAGCTACCTCTGCCCAGGCCACTGGACATTACGTTCCATCGGCCTGAAGCACACCTTTACCAAGTCCTCAGCTTTCTTTCCTCCTTAATTGTCCTTCAGCCAGCAGTGCAAGGAACCTCTCCTTGATGACCACCATGCCCTTCAAAGACCCTAAATCCCATTCCCCAGACAGTTTTGTGTACCTCTTCTAATACGTTGTTACAATCATGTTAAGCATTGGTATAAATGAAAGAAGACGGGGAAGGAATCTACTGTTCCACTCCCCTAGGCTCAAACTAGAGATGTGTTGCTCACTACTCTAGCCCCAGTCGTGCCTCAGGACACTTGCCATATGAAGGTCGTTCAATGTCAGCTGACTGAAGGAATAAACCACCACTAATAACCTGTAGAGATATCAAGCAGTTAGGCATGAAGTATCCCCCAAAATAAACCTCTGTTTACCTTGGATCTTTCACAGAGAAGCTCTGACGTCCCAGTAGTTCTCCCAAAAGATCTCCACCACAGTACACCATATGCTGCTCCTGCTTGTCATAAAGCTGCTTCACCATTATATACTGGCCTAGGTAATGCATGACCTGCACGGGAATAAAACACCATGAAGAAATCTATCCAGCTGCAACAACAAACACACAAATTATGGGAGGTGAGTAAAGCTAGCTGCAAGACAAAGAAAGAGTGGATTTATGGTCATGGATTTATGGTCATAACTGCAGTGCTGTGTGAAGCATTCTGCAACAGGAGGTACAGCCTGCAACAGGCAGGCTCTTCCACATACGACCACTTTGGACATGAACAGGCCACAACTTTTCAGAATAGAAATACACTGTTCTGACAGTGAGAAAAAGTGGTAAACATACTTAGCATCCCCTTTCCTTATGAATCAAAAAAAAAAGGTTCTATATACCACTATTAGACTAACAAAACCTAAATGTATTGGTCATAAAAATAACCTTGCAAGTTCAGGGACAAGAACTATAAATCTTCAGTCAATTCTTTTGGCAAATAAAATACAGTGTCCAGTAAAATATTAGCACTGAAACTGTATAAAGCACAGAACCTAACTATTAGATTAAAATGTCTTTTTTCCGTAAGAAGTCCAAAATAGGGACGTGAGAGACGCCAGAAAGGAATGGAAAGATGTTCAGTCCCTGGCACTGCACAGTTCCCCAGTACCACTGGGAGTGAGCTCCAAGTTGGCAGTAGCCTCTGAGCACTACCAGGTATGGCCCAAAGAAACAAACAAAAAGTCACGAAAGGGAAGGGAACACAGACTTGCTAAATCATGACCAGTAAGAGATTTAAGGGCCAGCAGTTAGAGATTTAGGGGCAGTACAAGGGTATGGCACTGTCTTGCATTCAGCTAACCCTTGGTCTATCCCCAACTTTGCATACAGTCCCCTGGGCACTGCCTGGAGTGATTGATCCCTGAGCATAAAGCCAGGAGCACACCATGACCACCACCAGGTGTAATGCAACCTTTATCCTACTGGACCTGGGATATGATGGGCTCAAGGGACGCTATGGGACACCAGGGACAGAACCCAGGTCGACTACATGCAAGGCAAATACACACAATACTACTGCTCCAGCCCTAGTCTTTGCGTACTCTTTAAGAACACTCGAGAAACTATGCAGGATGTCCCTCTCAGAAATAATGAGTGCCATTCTGTCATTACAATGGCAGTGCTGGGAGGTGTGCCCAGGCCAAACAGTGAAGCTAAACACAGCACTGGTATATAAGAGTGAAGTTTTATGTGGACCAGTAAGAGAGTAATAGCTGGAAATGATAACTATGGGCAGGAACTGAGCGCTGGAAGTAGGTAAAGGGATATATCTGATAACCTTTCAGTATCGGTACAAACCATAAGGCCCAAAAGGAACCGGGGGGGAGGGGGGGGAGTGGGGAGAAGGGTAGGAGGCAAATGAGGACATTGGTGGTGAGAAATGTGAAAAAAAGACAAAAGTGAATTTTTACTGCATACATGCTTAAAAATGCAGAGTAATGTTGAATTTTAAGGGTTTAAATGTAGTTTCTCTGGTCATGAAAGCACATTCAGGTGAAAAAGCACCCAAGATGCACTATAAAACTCAGAAGGATCATGGCTGGACTCACCCCTGCACCACACAGAGATAATCCTTACTGGGCCCCTCCACCATCTTTCCAATGAGGTTAACCTCCTGGCTGACAACCCAAGGCCTTTTTGGATCCAGAACTAGATTCTTCACTCTTCCAGCCAGATCCAGTAGCCTCCACACCAGTCCCTTCCACACCTGAAGGCTCTACTCATCACACATCACGCTTATACTTCCTGTGACTGGGTGAAGAAGGAAAAGAAAAGAGCAACACCCAGCCTGACCTCTCAGAAGCCTCCAATGGAAGTAAACTACCAAGATCCACCCAAGCACAGCAGAGGCACAGCAAACCCAATGGGAAAGACACACAGCAGCCCACCAAGCTCACTGAGTGAAAACATAACATAGAAGGCTCTATATCAGTACCAACCAGCTCCATCAACTCCAGAGAGGAACGTTAGTTGCACCACGTTGAAGGTGTTTAATGAGCTCAAAGAAACACACAGCTAGTCCACAAAGCAAGAGGAAGTATGAGAGCAGAAATGAGAAAACTACAATTTAACGTGACAGAAATGAAAATGATGGTTGGTGATATGAAACACTCAACAGAGACATCTTTAAAAGAATATGATACTGCCCAATCTTCCCAGGTAGACTGGTCCAGTCTAAGAACTCAGGGACCTTCTCCAATAGGGGTAGACAGACCCTTTCTGCCTGAGGGCCAACAGCACACAGTCACACCCCACACCTTCCAACACAGAAAATGTCCAGCTCCACAACTGAACCTCATCAAACTGCCAAGCCACCAAACTGTTCCAGATCTATACTGGACCATGTGGCCCCATATGCAGCAGTACGACATCCTCAAATTTCGTACTACTGTCAGCCCAGTAGAATCACAGAAAATCTGATGGGAAAGTTGCATAGAAGACCACTGAGCTCAATGAGCCTAAACAAGAACACAGAAGGCTCAACTATCACTAACCAGCACAGTAGATACTCAATGAATTTAGTAGTCATTGTGAAATGTAACAATACAGGGGCTGGAGTAGAGAGGATAGAGTGCTTGCCTTGCATGTGGTCAACCCGGGTCTAATCCCTAACATCCCTTATGGTCCCCTGAATACCACCAGGAGTGATTCCCAAGTGCAAAATAACCTGAGCATTGCCAGCTGTGGCCCAAAACACACACACACACACACACACACACACACACACACACACAAACACAAGAAATTACAGGAAATTCCCCTACATAAACTATGTGGAGATGGCATTCCTAAGACAGAGTTCAAAATAACTGTCTTATTTTTTCCATAATAAAATATTCTCCCTGATAGTTATTTTTTCCTAACCCCGGCAAATTCTACCATGACATTAAGGAAGCATAATTTATTACAACTTTACTGATAATAAAATTCATACTTTGTGTCAGAAGGAGAAAGACAAATACGAGATGATCTCACTCACATGCAGGATAGAAAGAAACAAAGCAGGAGCTAGAGGGACAGTTCAGTGGGTAGGGGGTTGCCGTGCACATGACTGACCCGGGTTTGACCCCCGGCATCCCATGTGGTTCCCTGAACACTGCTAGGAGTAATTCCTGAGTGCAGAGCCAGAAGTAACCCCTGATCATCACTGGGTGTGGCCCAAAAACCAAAACAAAATTTGAAAACAAAGCAAGAAAACTGTAAACGGCCAATGAAAACCAGGCCTGAGATACTGCCAAGAAAACCTCAGCAGCCAGGAGAGGCTGAGGCTCCAGGCACAGTGGGAGAGGGGTGCTGTCTTTCTAGAGTGGGGTGTACTGTGGCAGCATTTAGGTACGCCTAAATAAATCAAGATACCTACATTAAAAACTTTGATTAAACAATGTCTTTGATTTTCAAACACTGGGCCAGGGCCATAGCTCAGTGCTTGCCTTGCCATGTGTGGGACCCTGGCTTTGATCCCTGGCATTGCCACTGTAGCACTGTCCTCCCGTTCTTCGATTTGCTTGAGCGGGCCCAATAACGTCTCCATTGTGAGACTTGTTGTTACTGTGTTTGGCATATTGAATACGTCATGGGGAGCTTGCCAGGCTTTGCAGTGCGGGCGAGGGGCGGAGGAATCGAACCCGGCTCAGCCAGGCTGGCTGTGTGCAAGGCAAACGCCCTACTGCTGTGCTATCGCTCCAGCCCTGGCATTGCCAAAATATATATATATACATATATATATATGATTAAAACTGAAAAATAAGTCCATACTTTTTAGTTGTTTGTAAAGTCTTAGCCATTAGAACTTTAGAAACAGTAGCCTAACATGACGCAATTAGTTTTAAATGCTAATGTGCAGATTTTTGCTTTCATTTTTGATTTTGGGCCACACTGGCTGTGCTCGGAGCTTACTTCTGGCTCTGTGCTCAGGGATCACTGCTGGCACGTTCAGAGGACCATATGCAATGCCAGGAATCAAACCCGGGGCTGGCTGCATGCAAGTAAGCAACCTGCTACCCATCTCTCCAGCCCCAACATCAAATTCTACAGAATCTGCAATACCTCAAGATTTGTTTCAAGAGCTATAATGGCTTGGGAGACAGCACTGCTGAGGGATCTTAGGCTTTTAAGAAAAGCCATTAAAGCAAGCACCTGTCTGTAAAGAGTTAAATCTTTACCCTACAAAATACATGCAGTTTGAACAGATTAATATTTCAATAGTTTAGTCTTTTCCACTTAAAGAATTCAATTTTACTTGTTTTTTTACAAAAGTCAGAAGCTAAATAAGTTATTTAAATGCATAAATGTTTAAAATAACTCAGCACCCCAAAGAGAATCTGACACATTTATAATGAAAAACTACTGCATTTAATTTCTGCCTGGCAGCATACACTGTAAATCATAGGCTGTCATTTTTCAAATCTTGTACATGCTTTACATCTTAACTCTGAGATCAACAAATTCACGTTAATCCTATGTTTAAATGACAATAGATTTCAAAAATAAATCTAAGAGAAGAAACACGAAGTTCTTTTTTTTTTTAGGGGAGGGAGGACCTCCCAAATGGTACTGGGGCGGCGGGGGGGGAGAGGGTTGGGGCCACCATGCTGGCAGATCAAGGCAAAGGCCAGAGGATGCCATTCTGTTCAGGCCCTGCAGTGCCAGAGCCACCCAAGTGCCACATCCAGATGTTCTCAGGGTCTCCCAGGGCTGAACCCCTGGGGACTAAGGAGCACTCAGGATCAGTGTCGGCAACATGCAAGGAATTAACTTAACATGCAAGTTAAACTGGTGTAGGATAATACTCTTTTGTCCTTTCTCAGGTAGCTTTGGTTTATCGGGTCACACCCATCTAAGGACACTGAATTTGTATTGTAAGCAATGTCCTTTCTGTGTGGACACAGGAAGACAGTAAATATTATGCTTTGTAACTTGGGAGTTGATTGACTCCAAATAATATTTACTCCAGGGCATCTGATTTCTTGACTCAGTTGCCCTTAGTTCCTAGCACCCCAAAAGCAGGGTCCCAACGAGAGACTGAATGGACCCAGGGCAAGCAGTGAGCTACCCTGGCATCGAAATGGGCCAGGCCAAAGAGCCACGATACTCAACTATAAGTTGAGGGCATGATCATGGACAAATGCTGTCATGATCCAAAAGTAAGTAACGACAAGACTAGGACCCTGCTGGAGCTAGGAAGATTAACCTGGCCTGAGGACTGCGGAATGTATAGTGAGATGTTCTCAGGAAGAACCAAACTAAATTTATATCTCTTACTGTGCTCATACAGAATGACATTGCTAGAAATATTAGAAGTAGATTTATTACAACTATTTAAGTAGATTACTAACTGAGGGAAGAACACACCCTTGTTGGGATCCCACCCTTGAGCAGATCTCCTAGTAATCTGGAGTAATCTCTGTAGATGAGATTTTATCCTTGAGTTAATCTCCTGGAGGAGTGGTCTTATCTCTCTTTGTTGATTCATCAGTACTCAACCCACCTTTATGTCACGGTCTTATGTGACTGCTATATAAACTAAGACGTAAGCTCGGAGAAGGGAGTCAGAAGCGAGAGAGCTCGGGCTCCAGAAATCCAGAGTCAGAGCCAAAAGAAAAAGGTTCCAAGATTGGGGCCCAGGAGAGAAGGAGGCAGAGAAAGACAGGAGTGGAGAGGATTGGAATAAACTACTACTGATACAGACCGGCCTGGCCCTCGTTTCTTCTTCCATCTGCCCTTGGCCAACAGCCGCTCCGATCCAGGCCACACACAGCGGCTCAAGAGCACCAAACGCAGGTGGTGAGACAGTGCCATCCAGTGAGCCCATGAACACACAACCTTCGGTGTGATAAGATTTTACAAACCAGGACAGTCTCTGGCCTCTCAAGAGTCTGTGAATAGAGCAAAGCTTGCCTCTCTAGTAGCTCAGGAACAGAACTTCCCTTCTTAGACCTGCTTTCAGAAGTATGTGGGTATGAATACCCAGCAGTTCCTAAGAACTGGGAATTTCCAGGATGGACAAAGTACAGGAGGCGAAACGCCTACAAGTTTGAGCCCGGCACTGCATAAGGTCCCTGGTGAGCACCGACAGGGGTTGTTTCTATGTAGAGTGCAGTCCCTTCCTCACCCCAAAATAATAGGTGAAGTCCCATCTCACCAGTCCCCACTTTCAACCAATAAAACAGCTGAAAATTTTCCTTCATGGCTCACCTCTTTCACAGTGAACATTTCACCCTGTGCACCTGCTGCCTGCAAAATCTTCAAAAGTGGGAGTTTGGGCCGTACCTGAAATAAACAAAAATCTAATTTTATTTCAATTAGACTGAATTCTGAAACCCTAAAGGACAAGATAATCTCCTCAAACACATTCACACTTATCAGGACTGCCATCAAGAAAAAAAAAGATGAAAAATCTGTTTGGGTCATACAATTCTTTTTTTTTTTTTTTTTTTTTTTTTTTGGTTTTTGAGTGACACTGCTCAGGGCTCTGTTCTGATCACTCCTGGTGGGGCTCTGAGGACCAGATGTGGTGCCAGGGATCAAACCAGGGCCGGCTGCAAGCAAGGTAAGCACGGTACCCCCCCCCCCCCGGCCTTTTCAAATCTCTTATGGTCAAATTTTTTCCTCTCACAAACTCCTCAGTTTTGTCCTAATAAAGTCCCCCTTACTGTAAGGTTTTTATAAATTTTTCAAAAACTTTCTTATAGTATTTCCTATCATTTCACTGTTTCACTGTCTAAGAGATCTTCATTTGCTTCCTTCCAGAGAAGACGAGTTCGTCAAAACCATTTATTATATACTCCACCTTCTCCCCCATCAAAGCCAAATTCCACCTTTTTTACACATTAAGATACATACTGATACTTTATACATTAAGATACACATAATACAACATACTATGCAATGTTTATTAAAAAAAAAAAAACACAAAAACCATGTATTTTTAGGTTTGGATGTTGTTCTTTTTTCCTGTTTCTTGGGGCCACTTCGTAGTGGTACTCAGAAACTATGCCTGGCTTGGAGATGAGGGGTTTGTTGAAAAAAAAGTCTATCAAGAACACTCAATAGACTGATGAAGCCCCCGTTTTACTAGCAGTAAATCCAGGTTCAATCCCTGGCACTTCATGATCTCTGAGCTCCCCTCCCAGCCAGCACAGACCCAAGATTAGCCAAACTAGAAAAAAATAAAATATGTGCAATCTGGGGATGTAACTCAAATGCGGATTATCTGCCTGTTGTTCTGGCTTCAATTCCAGCACCATTACAAAAAAAAAAAAAAACACCCAACAATAACAAAATCTGCCTTTTATTAATTTTAAAGTTCTAAAATAACAAACTTAAAATGAAGAAATGAAGTATGATGAAATGGAAACACAATTTGGTCCAAATTCTGCACCCATATGTATATTTACCCATATACCCTGAAACATGCTAGTTTTGAAAATGTACCATTTTGAGCAACTGGCAGTCATTAACTGCATAAACCCAACTGTTATAGTCACTATTTACTGTATTCCCATATATAATATTCTTAATTTTATTTTTTATTGGGGGAGGGGCACACCAAGCAGTGTTCAAGGCCTACTCTGTGCTCAGACCACTCTTGGCAGTACTCGGGGGAACACAGGTGGTACATGGTTTCAAACTCGTCAGCTACATGCAATGCAAGCCACCTTACCCCTGCACTCTCTCTTCAGTCCTATATTGAAAGAAGTATGTTATATCTTCTCTACATAAAATCCTCTAGCCAGCAAACTCAATTGTATTTCCCAATTTGATTTTCTAAAAGCAAAGACAAATCGAAATGCTTAAAATTATTCACCTTACTGATCTGTTCTGGTGAGATCCTGCAAGCACTACTGGATGTTGAACACTGGGCAGAACTATGAAGTGACGTCATTTTGGCAGTAAGGAATTTTCAATCTGCTGCTGAATCTAGAAGTGGAAAAAACATACATAAATCTCTTTCAAAACAGAAAATGATGTCTTCGTTTACCAAAAAAGCAGCCTGCAGAAGCAAAAATAACAAACTGTTCACAGGATCCTACATAAATGTAATATATACTCAGGTTCTGATAACTTTCTAGTTTAGATTCTGAAGGAAAAAACCCTAAGTACTTAATGAAGAGGTACAACTATTTATGCTACCTTCAGGTGAAACCTAAAAGATAAACAAATTCAGGCAAGTTCCAACCTCCACAATGAAGATGATAATGAACGAGTAAACTGTTGGTACTGAAGGTCAAATTTACAATGATTCTCTCCCCACAGCCTCGGAGAGCCCGGCAAGCTACCGAGAGTATTCGATATGCCAGACACAGTAACAACAAAGTCTCCAATGGAGACGTTACTGGGCCCGCTCGAGCAAATCGACGATCAACGGGAGGGCCTTTACCTTTACCTTTACCTCTCCCCACAGGATATCAAACAGCCCACTCTCTGTTCTCCCCAGGAGAGAATATTCACCCCCTTGAAGACAGTTCAGGGCTGGGGAAATTCCCAAGACTTAAGATTCCAAGAGCTTATCAAAAATCCTCTGCAACATGCTGGGGCATGTCTTACTTGGTAAGAAACAAGAAACAAGTCAAGATAGGATTAGGACGGCTTCTGACCCCCCAAAAGATAGAGAAAACAAATGCCTTTTACAAACCTTGACTTAAAGCAAGTTTGTACAGAGCAGAGTTCCTTACACTTTCCTCCCTGTGAGCATCTTTTGCCCAAGGTGTTTTTACACGACCCCCTATGCATCTAGGTTGGTATAAAAAAAAATACGTATACAAATCATGTATTTACTGATAATAAACCAAATGGACATGTATTTTAAAACACTGAGATTCTCTGCAACCCCCACATTCAGTTAAGTAACTCACAGTTGAAGGAGCTCGGACAGAGGCCAGAATGATCTAACAGAGGCTTTGCCTTGCAGAGGGCAGACCCAGGTTCAACCCTCAGCACCAAATATGGTCTTTGGAGAGGATGACGTAGAAGTGGAGCCAAGATTAAGCCCTGAGCAATAGGTGTGTCCCCACCCTATCCCCACAAAAAAAAAAAAAATAGAACCAGAAGCTAAGCTGTAGATCACCAAGGTAAGACACAGCACAAATTGGAATTTTAACTATCTTTTCTCCTTAATTTAATTAAAAAAAAAATCAAAGCAAAAATTAAAAATAGCTGGGCTGGAACCATAGTACAGTGCGGAAAGGGAGCTTGCCTTGTACCTGATTGTCCTGGCACCCCATTTGGTCATAAGAGCCCTGCAAAGGGTGATTCCTATGCTCCACTGGTAGAACACACACACACACGAACACACACACACACACACACACACACACACGCTATAAAGAAAAATAAAATTCTAAATAAACTTGCTTGAGTTACCATCAGGTCTTTTTCTAAAAAAAAAAAGGAACAATCACTAGAATTAATAAATAGCTTCTTCCTGTACCCTATCAGCTTCCATTACTACAAAAGGGGAAGTCAAAGTGGATATAACTATCATTTAAAATTTTAAAGCAGCTTTATTGGCATTTCTAATATTATTTTAAAAAAGAAAATCCTTATCCCCCAAATCTGCTAAATCCTTTAATATCCCCTACCTCGGAAATGGTGACTTCAGTTGCTTGGGTCCACGACCCTGGGCTATCCTTGGTTCTTTATTCTCTCACATCCCACACTCAAACCACAATTCTGAAGATACTGCTTCAAATATATTCAAAATGTAATTCTCACTCTTTCCTTTTTTACCACCACAGCATCCATCTCTTAACTGCACTGCCTGCTAACACTTTCACTGCTTCCAAGCTACTTACCTTAGTCTGTTCAAAAGTCCTGTCACCGCCACCTTCCATGACCACCATTGGAGAGGTGTGGTCAGGCGGGGTGGAGGTGGGGGGAGATGGGGACACCCAACTTTGTTTTTCTTCGTTGCCAGTGTTACCAACAGGCATGCTATACATGTTATCACATGAAACATAAGCTGTCGGTGGACAGGACTTCCTACTTATTAACGTATTCCCCAATGCCTACACTGACACATAGTAGTAGAGCAACATGATGGAGAAAATTATCAATAAAATTGCGTGGTTTCAAAAATGATCTCTATGTAGATCAAAACATCAATGACATATTATCTCACACCACAGAGACTGGCACCCATCCAAAAGAACAAGAGCAACTAGTGCTGACGCAGATGTGGGGAGAAAGGGACTCTCCTTGGTGGGAATGCCAACTGGTCCAGCCTTTTTGGAAAACAATATGGATGTTTCTCAAAAAATTAGAAATTGAGCTCCCATTTGACCCAGCATTACCACTTCTGGGAATATATTCTAGGGGACCAAAAACACACAGCAGAAACACCATCTGCACTCCAATGTTCACTGCAGCACTATTCACAATAGCCAGAATCCGGAAACGACCTGAGTGCCCAAAAACAGATGACTGGAAAAGAAACTATGGCACATCTACACAATGGAATACTATGCAGCTTTTAGAAAAAATGAAGTCATGAAATCTGCCTATAAACAGATGGTCAGGGAGAGTATCACGCTGAATAAAATGAGCCAGAAGGAGAGGGACAGATACAGAATGACTGCATTCATCTGTGGTTGTGTATGTGTGTGTGTGTAGATCACCGTCACTGTCCTCCTGTTGTTCATTGGTTTGCTCGAGCAGGCCCAGTAACATCTCCATTGTGACACCAGTTACTGTGTTTGGCATATCGAATACATCACGGGGAGCTTGCCAGGCTTTTCCGTGCAGGCAAGATACTCTCGGTAGCTTGCCGGGTATCTTGCCGGGCTCTCCGAGAGGGAATGTGTATAGATACACACATGCGCACACATGCGCGCGCGCGCGCACACACACACACACACACTATATATATATATATATATATACATATATATATATATATATATCCACGGACAGTGAAAACAGGGGCTAGGTGGACTGGTCAATGGGTGGAATAAACCACAAGTGTGGGGAGAGTGCTGAGGGTAGATAAGACAGAGAAGGGACCAGTATGACAATAATAGCTGGGAAGGATCATGAGTATTAAAAGTAGGTAAAGCGGTTTTGCTGACAACCTTTCAGTATCTGTATTGCAAACCCCAATGCCCCAAGGTGAGGGAGAGGAAGGGGGAGGGGAGAGGGAAGAGAGGGAGGAGAAATGGAGGGGGCAGAGGAGGAGGGGGAGGAAGAGGAAAGAGAGACAGAGACAGAGACAGACAGACAGACAGACAGATAGAGACAAAGACAGAGAGAGAGAAAAGTGCCTGCCACAGAAGCAACCTGGGGGGGAGGGAAGGAGTGATGGGAGGGAACTGGGATCACTGATGCTACACTGGTAAAGGGATGGGTGTTATCACTGTATGACTGAAACTGAATCATGAACATCTTTGTAAGGGTCTATCTCACAGTGATTCACTTTATTTATTTATTTATTGCTTTTTGGGTCACACCTGGCAATGCACAGGGGTTACTCCAGGCTCTGCACCAGGAATTACACCTGGTGGTGCTCAGGAGACCATATGGGATGCTGGGAATTGAACCCAAGTCAGCCATGTGCAAGGCAAACGCCTTACCCGCTGTGCTATCACTCCAGCCCCACAGTGATTCAATTTAAAAAAAAAATTTTTTTAACTTTCCAGGGCTGAAGAGATAGTACAGTGGGTAGGACACTTGCCTTGCATACAGCTGACCAGGGGTTCAATTCCTGGCATCCCAGATGGTCCCCGGAGCATCACCGAGAGAGATTCGTGAGCACAGAGCCAGGAGTAACCAGGTGGTAAACCTGAGCATCACCAGGTATGGCCCAAAAACAATTTTGAAAAAAGGATTTCCAATGCTGGAAAAACAGTACAGGTAAGGACACTTGACCTGTATGCAGCCAACCAGGCTAAAGCAGACATGTAATTTGCTCGAGATCAGGTAGCTATGCTGACGGGGCTGAAGACTGCTGGATGTGACTCAAATAACCCTCCCGCCATAAAAGACAAACCTCCGGTTGGCTGGCTATCTCTCTGCCCAATGCCCATGAAGGAAGTACAGCACCGTAGCACCGTAGCACCGTCCTCCTGTTGTTCATCGATTTGCTAGAGCAGGGACCAGTAACGTCTCCACTGTGAGACTTGTTACTGTTTTTGGCATATCGAATATGCCATGGGGAGCTTGCCAGGTTCTGCCATGAGGGCAGGATACTCTCGGTAGCTTGCCGGGCTCTCTGAGAGGAACAGAGGAATCGAACCCAGGCTGGCCTCATGCAAGCCCTACCCACTGTGCTATCGCTCCAGCCCCATGAAGAAAATTACATTTAAATTGTGAACCAGGGGGTGGGAGAGATAGTACAGTGAATAAGACACTAAGCACAGAACCCAGAACTGGAACACAGCTCTGAGCATTATTGGGTGTGACACAAAAATACATAAAATATAGTTTAGGGCTATATAGAAATTTCAAAGCACTCATTCTTTGCCTATAGGAGGGGCAGATACAACCCCCAGCAGTCTGGTCCCCCAAACACCTCTGAGAATGACCTCTGAGCACTGTCAGGTGCATCCCCTCCAAATAATAAAAATGAAATATAGATTACTGGGGGCTGGGGCAATAGTACAGTGGGCAGGGCACTTGCTTTGCACATGGCCAACCTGGGTTCAATTCCCAACATCCTATATGGTCCCCTGAGCACCTCCAGGAGTGCATGCTGACTGCAAAGTGGAGAGAAACCTAAGTACTGCTGGGTGCAGCTAAAACACACAAACAAATTACAGGTCTAGAGATGGCTCTAGATGTAGCATGTGTGTGGCCCTGCATTTTATCCCCAATACTTTCCCTTAACATCACAGGATCTGGTGAAGGAAAACTCCCAAGAGAGGGCCCTCTGAGAAAAGTATGAATAAGGTTGTCTTCCAATTGATAATATACATGATATGGTATTGATGACTTAATATCTAATTTTCTCTTTAGAGTTCTAGCATATTTGTGTTAGAGAATTTCCTAAGTTAACATTCTTTGTGTTTGGTTTAAGGGCCACAGCCGGTAGTACTCAGGGATCGCTTCTAGTGGTGCTCAGGGGACCATATACAGTGCTGAGGGTCAAACTGAGGTGAGCCACAAGCAAGGTGTCTTCAATCACATACTATCCCTATCTGGTCCCACCAAAGCTGGCGCTCCTACGCTGCCATGATCCTTCACTGGTCTTCAATGGGTATTGCTCACGTGTAGGAATACAAATGAACTCCATTAATCAAATACCTACTCACTTTGCTAAACTCAAATAATCACTAATAATTTTTAGGTTGTTTTCTATGTAAGTGGTTACCCCTTTCCCCTCCCCCCCACCAACCCCAGCTCTGTGTGTGTGTGTGTGTGTGTGTGTGGCCACACCCTGCAGTGCTCAGGGCTAACTCCTGCCTCTGCAAGTGCAAGGCAAGCACCCTACCCCTTGTACTATCACTCTGACCTGCCCTGATTCCTGTACCTGGAATTTCTTATTTTATCCTTAGGATCAGTAACACAATGTTGAATATTCAAAGAAATCCTTTGTCTCTGAGTTGGCTCGTTATTTTGTTTTGGAGTCTATACTCAGGGTTTACTAGCTCTGCACTCAGGGATTACTCCTAGAAGAGATCGGGAACTCATACAAGGGGCAATGTGTTAGGTCTGGGATGGCCACATACAAAGCAAGGGTCCTACAAGCTGTTTTATCTTTCCAGCCCATAATTTTAAAGAGTATCTCTTCTCAAACTGAATGCATTAATGATAAACTTTAATTACCTCAACAAATGCTCCATTCTGTACTAGAAGGACCTATTTTGCAATATTTTAAAAGTAATTTTTATAAATCAATTGAGTGCTTGATTCTTTAATCAATTGTTTCTAAACTAAACATTTATTAGGACAATTTCCCCAGACTACAATAATAAAGCAATTGCATAATAGAAAGTAGAAAAAATAAATAAATAAAAATAAAGGGTATCTCTACTGTCTCCTATTAACAATGGTTGCTGCTTTTTAAAAATAGCTACTCTTGGGTCAGAGCGATAGTAGTTTTTATTTTTTCAGCCCCTCACCCCCATATTCTCTTTTTAATCTCTACTTTGAATACAGATGGATAATCTTTTCCAGCATCTACTGTACCTTCTCCTTTACTTTTTTGTTTTAGAGGCCTTGGCACACCTCCAAGTCACCCCGAGCACAAAACTCAGGGGTGACTTTGTTAAGGTACTCCCAGTTCACATCCTCTACTCTGGGGGTTGGGGAGAGAAATGGAGGGATTTGAGCCACGCCAGCAGTGCCCAGGAGAAACAGTACAGGGACAAAATACTTGCAGGCATCAACTACAATGGTCCCTGGAGGACGACCACCTGTGACTCCCAGAGAACAGAGTCTGAGTAGCCTCTGAGCACCCACCGTATGTCTGTACCCTCTCCCCACCCCCCCACCCCACCCCACCCCACCCCGCCCCGCCCCAAAAAAAAACCTTAATAGAAGAAAAGCACTGTGGTAACTTTAACTGCAACCTGATATGAGGTATACGCTGACCTATGACTGTGCTATATATATTCTTAAATGCTTCAAGTGGCTGGAGAGAGTTGGGGCTGAATCCATGCATTCAAGGTTCACAAGTCTAACCCCTGGCAACACAGGATTCCCCACTACTGGCCCAACGTGGCCCAAAAGCTCAAGTTAAATATTTCATAAAAACGCTGGGAGCGGGAGGTGGGGGGAGAAATTGGGGGTGGGGGAGATTATTCTATGAACCTTACATACTTAATGACAAAAAAATATCTTGGGAGGGGGGGATGGGTACTCTTGGAAAACAATCCAATTATTTTCAATGAACCAGTAGGCTGAGGTTCATGCTTCTTTGGCGCATGCCCGCAAACCCCAAAGTGAGTATGACTAACAGAAAGGGGGTTTTTTTGCCCCTGGGCTTTTCTTTCCAACCAATAAAACCCCTGTGACAAACGGGGAGAGCTCAGACAAACGTGTCTGCCTTCCAATGAACGAGAGAAGAATTTCTTTTCTTTTTTTTTTTCTTTTTTGCCGTTTTTCTCCTTTCCAAAGGGCTCTCGGGAATCGCTTATTGAAAGGGCAGCCAAAGCCACCACCCCGTTTCACAACAGAGCAGAAGAAGGGCGAATCCCGGGAAGGTTAAAAGACCCCTTGGGAGGGGGGGGAGGTGGCGGGAAAGGGGTAGGGGGTTTCCAGGCACCAGAAGAGCAAAGGACTAGACCCCAAAGAGGAAGCAGGAGAGGCGCGCGGCCCGACACCACCACCACATCTTCCCAGCTGCGAACAGGACCATCAGGTACCACCCCCCACCCCCACCCCCCACTCCCCGAGCATCTCCATCAAGCCCCCTCCGTCCGCATTTCCGAACTCGGCCCGGAGGAGGGGGAAAAAAAAAAATAACCAGAACTTGCCTTCGAGGGGCCAGAGCAACTAGAACACAGCGGGCCGGGCACTCCCTTGCACGCGGTATACCCGGGGAGTTCGAAGTCTTTTGAGCACAGAGTGCTTGGGGCCTTCCCGCAAAGAGACCCAAATAAGTTAAAATAAAAAAACTTCTTGGGGGGAAATAAATGAATAATTAAGTAAAACATGCTGCCGTTCCCCCACCCCCCCCCCCCGGGCCAGCTACACGGACCACAAGGGTGCAACCCGCGCGCGTAATTTGCCAGCAGTTTGCAAAAGCAAAGCTGGAAAAGCGCCGTGGGCGCCCGGGCGCCGCCGCCACCCGGACGCCGAACCCGAGCCCGAGCCCGAGCCCGCGCGGGCCTCCCGGCCTCCTTCCGCCCAGCCGCCCCGCGCGCCGCGTTCCACCGAGCACCCCCCGCCCCCAAACCCCCGCCCAGCCCCGCTGTCGCACCTCACGGTCGCTCCATGGGTCGTTCTCCCCCGCCTAGCCCGCGCGGGGGGCGGACGGGGCGTCAGTCACAGGCCCCGAGGCCCCAGCGGCATTCTGAGACGGCGAGGAGTGAAGACGCCACTTCCGGCCTCCGCTAGTCCCCCCCCCCACCACCACCACCCAGCTTACACCGGAACTTCCGGCCACGCTTCCGGACACCAGCGACGGGGCGACCGCGGAGCTAGAGAGGCCGAGATCCGCTTACCATAGAGTAGGGGCCGGGCTGGGGCGTGAGAGTCGGAGGACCGGGGGTGGGGGGGGGGGCGGCGGGGGCTTTGGGGGAGGATCTTGCGGTAATTCCTCGCCTTTGCTTGGAAATCAGGAGCCGTGGGAGGGGGGAACGCAACGGCAGGAATCAGAACCTTCAGCAAAATGCCATTCCCCTCGTTCCGCTGTATTAACTTAGCCAACCTCCTGGCCTAAAGGGTCAACGGCATTTCTGGTGTCTCTCACTGGGAGAGAAAAGACAAGCATTTATGTTCAATTTATAATTTTTTTTAAAAAAAATGTGATATGCATGAGGGGTATAGTCATATATCCAAAACACAGATTCGACAAAATTGAAAGCATGACACCTGAACTGCGACCACTGAAACTTTTGTCATGTGCCTGTCAAGTTGACAGGTGAGGGTGGAGCAGGGGTTGGGATGGGGAGGGAATCTGGGAACACTGGTGGAAGGAAGCCCACACTAGTGGAGGAATTGGTGTTGAGTTATTGTATGCCTAAAATGCAACTGTCAGTAACTTTGTAAACCGTGGCTCTTTAATAAAAATTTTAAACAAACCAAAAAGAAGAAAAAACAAGAAAAGACAAGCATATAGGCAATTACTGCAAGATGTATGGGGAAGGGAATGCTGAAGAGAGGTGCTAAAGAATGATGAGATGGAGCTTAGTTTTAGATCACGCAAGCAAGGCATCTATTTAACTCTTGATATCCAAAGTGTCCACAGTCGCGAAGACAAGCTGTGCTCAGCCTCGGCAGGCCCAAATGGCGGTCTTCCCTTATTTCGGGATAAGTCGACACGTTGGGAGGATTTTCCTAGCAGAGATGTGTTCGTTTGCAATTTATCTTTATTTCAGATCTGCATACATGTGGGGTACAGAGGAAGGCTTCACGATCACGATCATCCTGTTGTTGGTCAATTGCCTCTAGCAGGCCCCAGTAATGTCTCCTTCATCCTAGCCCTGAGATTTTAAAAAGTGCCCTATTCAAGGCTCTTTCAGGGTTAGGAGAATGAGACCCATCGTTACTGGTGTTTGGCATATTGGGTACACCACGGGGAGTTTGCCAGACTCTGCTATGTGGGCAGATTACATTCAGTAGCCTGCCAGGTTGTCCAAAGTAAGAATGAGATAATCAAGGAAGGCTTCATTCTAATTAGAGTTACTTTCCGCTGTCTGAAGACGGCCCCCATGTGCCATCCCTGACTCTCTTTGTTATTCTGCAGGCAGAAGAATCTCCCTCCAGAACTTTCAGCTGTTTCTGATATGACTTCAAGCCTCCTTGCTTTTCTGGACACCTTCTTCTGAAGTAGTACCTGTTTGTCCTGTTTAAACGTTTGCAAAATACAGACAAGATAGTTTCTTGGGAATATGAGTCCGTCAACTTCTCAGGTTACTAGGCCCTGAATAAACCTGTTTTTCTTGCAAAAATAAATTAATGAAACGTGGATACCAGAATCTGGATACAGACTAGTGCAACACAGGAAACACATTGTCGAATCATCCTCCAATTTCCGGTTCATCCCCCCTGAATTTGCATATTTCACTCGGCACTATTTCTAGCCTCACCTCCAGCTCAGCAGAAAGATTCAGAGTGTGAATGAGCTGAAGAATCCGTCCCTTTTTCACAGTTGCTCCCAGAGAACTTCAAATCAGCAAAATGCCTTTCAAAAAAAAAAAAAAGAGGGAGAGAATGTTCTGGGTGAATCACTGTCAGCTGTTTCGCCTCTCTTCCTGTGCGATTGATTTTGATTTGTTTTTAAATTCCCAGACAGAAATTTATTTTATTTCATTTAAGAAAAATCTGGGGCTAGGCATGTCACTCAGTGATGGAGCACTCTCCTTCACCTGCCCAGTTCTGGGTTCAGTCTATGAGGTGGGATGGGGGTGGATAAATTTCATAGTTTATTCCTTACCGCGCTCTCAGACTCTTGGAATAATGACTCTGGGAACTTCCTTAACATGTCAGAGTTTTTCTTAAAGCCACCAAGGTTTCTACCTATTTTGTCAACATTGGACATCATCCCTCTATCCTTTCCCAGGTGATTAAAATTGTTAGAATTGTTGCAGACAGAGCTGGAGGGCACTAGTATTAAGTAGCACTGTCCTCCTGCTGAGTTGCTCAAGCCAACACCAGTAACATCTCCATTGTGAGACTTGGCATATCGAATATGCCACAGGGAGCTTGCCAGGCTCTGGCGTGCGGGCGGGATACTCTCAGTAGCTTTCCAGGCTCTCTGAGAGGAATGGAGGAATCAAACCCACGTCAGCTGCGTGCAAAGCAAACGCCCTACCCGCTGTGCTATCGCTCGCATGCACTAGTACTATATACTGGAAAAAATACTGTCTAGAACCCAAACCAGCCCAAAGGCCTTTGAGACACAAGACCTATGTGAGAAGACCCAGAGGACTACTGAAATGCAGAATTCCAGACCCAGAGCATAGCTGGACCCCCTGGGAATAGAGACTCCACTGCTGGAACAAAGGCCATGTTAAGATTATCAAAGAGCATCAATAGCTCCAATCTCTCCTGCTTGGCAATCATTCTAGTAACAGACTTTGGGGAGCAGTTTGGGAAAACTGTATAAATTAACTTGGCAGAAGAGAAGTTTTTGTTGACATCTATTATCTATGATGTGTGCTTGAGAGTGCATTTCCCAGGGGCTGGAAACAGTACAGCAGGGAGGGTGTTTGCTTTACTTGAGGACCACCTGGGTTTGATCCCTGGCATCCCATAGGTCCACCGAGCACCCTCAGTACTAATTCCTGAGTTCAGAGCTAGGAGTGACCCCTGAGCATCATCTGTTGTGGCCCCAAAGCAAAACAAACAAAGAAATAGAGCACATTTCCCATTTCCTGGGTCTCGTGAACAGAGGTCTGGACCATACACAGGCTTATTGCAGATTCATCTGTCCTAGATCTCCCCAGGCACTACCCCGGTGACTGGGGTAGGTACAGAGGAAAGTGGCAAACTCCCTTCTCAAGGCCACCATCTCTCTCTCTCTCCACAGAAGCCACCGTGGAACCTGCTTCCTTGTGAGTCTCATGTCTTCTACCAACAACAAAACAATATACTATAATACAAATAAACCATAACTACTTTTTTTGTTTGGGGGCCACACCTCAGGGCTTACTCCTGGCTCTGCACTCAGGAATCACTCTTAGCAGTGCTCAGAGGACCATATGGGATGCAAGATATCAAACTCAGGTCAGTGGCATGCAAGGCAAGTGCCCTAGCCGCTGTACTCCGGCTCCCTGGCGTTGTTTTTTTTCCCCCAAGAAATTATTATCCCAAATATTGACAGCTTTCTCAATTCCCTTTCTCTCTCTTCACTCCAGTCAAACTTGCAAATTCCTTCTTGAAGGGAAAATAGGTGTCAGAAAAGGAGAGAGCAGAATTCCCAGGATGGTTCCCGCTGTATCCTTGCCGTTGTGTCTTTCTGTTAGACACTGTTTTTTAATAATTTACATATATGTATATAGTATCTCATTTTATTCTCAGAATTATCCTATTGCCCTGAAAGAGAGGAACAACTTGCTCTAAATCCCAGAGGGGTAGTAAGGATTCAGTCAGGGCCTCTACCCTCAGAACCAGGCAGTGACAAACATTGACACTTTCAGTTTTTCTGTATATATAAATATCTATATAGACATATGTAGACATAGAAAATAAAAACTATTTGAAATATTTCTTAATCTAACAATATTGTGCAATGCTTACCATGTTTCATTCTTCCATAACACAACTCTTAGTACTTGCATAACACCGTATAAGGGCTGCCCCATAATTTACATAGCTATTTCCCATTTATGTATTTTCCATTTTTCCAGTTAAAGTATAATGAGGACCTCTCTGGTAATCCAGTCTTTTAAAATCTCTCTCTCTCTCTCTCTCTCTCTCTCATCATTTTAAGTCCCTGATTACTTTTTAAGGACAAATTCCTAAAAGTGGAATTGCTGGACCAGAGCATTCATTCCTAAAGCAGTTAAGAATAAAATTAAGAGAAAGAAATACCACTTAACAAAATTCTCAAGGTCAGTCCCTTAGTGAGGACAGTGCTCAGATTACCCACCACTCTGGAGGTTTGTGGAGACTTCCACACCGCCGCAACCAATGAGATCTCTTTGGCAAATTCAGCTTTCCTGTCCCACTGATTTAGTTTCTGCCTCCAGGGATGCGTCATGTTTAATTACTTGGACACCTTCAGGGGTCCTACAGGATCATCCCACTAGCCTTGTGCAAAGTACGTTCTCCCATTGTAAAAACTGCACAATAAAACCCAGTGGCTTCAGAATGACTATTTCTATTTTCTATTAGAATCCCCCGCCCCCCGTAGCAGTGGTAAAATAAACACGCTTTCAGTACAGCCGCTTCTGCAAGAATATTCTTTGCCGTTCTCTTAATTCTGCACTTATTCGCGAGGCTGCAACTCGAAGAAGCCTCCCTATTAAGGGCAACTGTGCACACGGATATCTCGTAGCTCTGAATATTTGGGGCAATTTGCTTTTCTTAAGCGCAAGAATATACGTTTTTCGAATTCAAAGCAACCGCACAAAGCAGTTGCACCAAATGCACAAAGGGTGGAGGGAAGCGGCTGCACCAGGTTCCGCATTCTTATGTAAGACATAGCCGCGCGCAGGCTGTGTCGTGAGAGCCCGGATAGCTCAGTCGGTAGAGCATCAGACTTTTAATCTGAGGGTCCAGGGTTCAAGTCCCTGTTCGGGCGCTCTTCTTTAGCTCGGCGTGGGTTCGTTTTTTCTTCTTTCCTGACAATTACAACCTAAAAAGGATTTGGGTCGAGAAAGCGCCCTGCAAAAAAACCTACCGTAGAAACAAAATCCCGCCATATGTTGGAGAAGCAAT